TCAAGAACAGCAACTACAAAGCATTCTGTCTGACCTGGACCGGACACCTGAGAGATGCCAGGGCTTTGGGAGGCGCTCTGGTGTACGAAGTCATTCACTCAAAAGCAAAGCCCGTGAATTTTAAATAGAAAACAGGAAAGTGCCCAGAATATGAGTTCCTCTGTTCCAGCAAGAACAGTTAAGCAGGTGCAGTAGGAAGTGAAAGACGAAGATTTGATTCAGTTATGCATAGCACAGATGAGGAGCAAGACAGTATCTATTCAAGTAGAAGCAGATGGCAGAGAAGAAACGTGTGGCACCTGCAACTCATGTAATATACACATATTCAAGATTAGCATCCAGAAAGATGGTCTCTGTGTGGAATAAATAACAAATGTTAGAGCAGTATAGGCTGTCATCATAAGTCAAAGACAAAAGATGGGAGTCAAAGGGAGTTGAAAGAAAAACCTTCAGTGTAATGAGTCTGATTTATCCCCTCATTGCACGCCCCTATTTCAAGTCCCCTACTCACTGCACATGCTTACAGCTCGGTTGGTACAATCACAGCTGCTAACAAATCAGCAAGGTTGCAATCTAGTGCAAGGCCACACCAGGTCAACTCAAGAGATAGGGTAGCTCAGGTAAAGGTTTCACTTTCAAATGAACAGAGGTTTTAGTTGGAATTGACCCTTACAGGAAAAATGAGTCCACAACAAGACTTAATGAAGAATCTGGCATTGCTAGGCTTCCTGGGAAACCAGGGGCTGGAAGGCATTTGGGAGAAAGCCCATCTCTCTCCACATGAGAACAGACAAGTTCTTTCAGAGCCCCAGTTATCTATGATTATTCACCTTTAATGAGTCCTTCCAGATCTCTCGCTTCCTTACACTTCCTTGCTTCTGACCTTATGGTATAAACTTCTGGTTACCAGGGTTTCCTCTAATGGCATCCCTATGCTCTTCCTGAAGACAGACACTTTTCCCCTCTGCATTTCAACGGAATCCTTGCTATACCCTCCATTTGCTGCCTCACAGCTTCTGCTTGCACAAGTCCCACTGTTTTATGTGCCTTCCCCTGAGCTGGAGCTGCCTAGGCTAGAAGATTAAGGTGCCCATTAACAAGGACCGAATCTCTGAGTCTGAGCATTAACCTGGTTGAATGCTGTGTGTTCAGGAACTGGACCGCAGTCCTCATTCTGGCTCTGCCTCAGACCCGCTGTGTGACTTTGGGAGGTCATTTCTCCCATCTGGCTTTTTTGGTTTCCCCATCTGTAGAAAAGGGAAAAGTCTCATTATCTCTCTCTATATAAAACATCCAGAGAGCTACAGAAGACAGACTGTATTGAGACCCAGGCACTATTATTGTTAGAGCACTGGCGAGCAAAATAGACACTGGCAAGAGACAGAAAAGCAAAATAAATCCAAGGGCAAAGAAAGCAGACAGAGCAATAAAGCACAAAAATTGAAGAAAGAAGGGGAAAAAAAAATACCTAGTGAACACCAGAGTACAGCACTGGGGCACTACTCCTGTTGAAGTATATATGGAAGGACAACACTATTTTGAAGCAGTTCTACAAATCCAGTTGTCCATCTTCTCAGTCTTTGTGTTTTTAGAGGCCTGTAGTTTTGGTGAGTCCAAATCGCTGCTCCTGCCTAACTCCACACATGGGAAAGACTTTTCGTATGGTCTGGCTCTCAAACATATTGACTGACTACAGCTGTACAGCTCAAATAGGCAAGGAGATACTCTATCAATCACCTTTTGAGATCAGCCAGGATTATCCTTTCTCCACAAGCGACCAGGAAGGAATGAGAAGAACAAGAAGGCTTGGATGCAGACCTGTAGGACAGTTAGCTGAACTTAACCAATATTATTTAACTGTGTATGTAGTGCTTTGAAAAGGAAGATCAGTGCAGAATTACAGCATCACCAAGAGATAACCGAAGCTCTGGAATCAACATAGTTCTATGCCTGTTACTCTACAATGCTACTGAGCAAGCAGCAATTGCGATCCATCTGTCAGCATGTCCTTTGCTGTCACAGGATCCTTGCTGCAGAGACTACCACATTCTGCTCCTTTCCATTATGGATGAGGCATCCCTGTGATTTTTCTGTACAGGGAGTTACTGTGCCCCTCTAACCAGTTTTCATTATATCTCCTAGGCAAAGAGCAGCTTGTGCCTTGGGATTAATATAAAAGAAGACAAAAATTCAAATTCTGTCTTTGCAATTCCTAAGAAACAAGTCACCTTTGCTTTCCAGAGAGTAGCAGAAGCCACGAGTGTATGAATTGGCTTTTGAATGTTTGGAGTGAGAGAGCTATGAGATTGGCTGTGCCTGCAAAGAACGGGTTATGGCACGAATGCAGGGTCATACGTTGCCTTTGGTGGATTTCTTTTCTCCTTGCCGTTTGAGTTTTCAGCACCATCGCCTCCTAAAACACTGTGTGCAGCCTTGTTTCTCAGTTAAAAGGATTTTCTTTATTATTTTTTAAAGCCTGTTTGATGAGTGATATGAACTGCCAGTGAATACATTTCACTCCCCCTCATTAACATTGTAAATTAATTTAAGACTCATTTAGATGCAGGATTAGCAACCTGAGGACTAATCCACTCTTTATTCAGAGGACATACTCAGGATGAGCAGTCTTTCGTCTCACATCACTCAGTTAGCAGGACCATCTCTTGCGAATAAGATGATATTTCTGTCTCCCTGCTTACAAAGGAACCGTTCAAGGTTAAAGCAGGTGTCTGGGAGACATCAGTCCTGGTCCCAGCTCTACTATAGGCTTCCTCAGCAACCTTGGTCAAAGACTTCTATGCTCTGCATCCATTTTCCCCAGTTTGCACATTTAGAGGTCAGACTTAGAGAACAGACACAAGATTAAAAGTAGTGTTTATGGTGGTTTAGGCCAGCGTGTTTTATTTTGCCTGGGTTAAGGGTACACGGGCCTTGGGCCAGCTGCCAACACAGAAACTTGTTAAGCTGAAGTAATACATTTAATAAGTTTTCAGTTATGTGCCCCTACCCTCACTTACACAAAATGATATTTTATTTTGGAAGCACTCTTTTCCTGTGATGGCACTGTGATTAACACATTATCATCTATATCGCAGGGGCAAAGTCAAGCCCTCCATTATCAGTTACAAAACTCTTGACGCACTCAGCAGCAATCTTGCACTATCTCAGTAATGCTGTTTTCAGATGCCCTGTATGTTTGCTAGAGAAATAAATAACGTTCCTTACAATTAACAATATGAAAATGCCCTGCTGGAGCTTAGCTCTTACTTGCTGCCTGTAAATCATCTGCAGAAGGATTTAATCCACTGAGGGGAATGAAGACTAAATATATGCTTTGGCAAGTGTCATTTTCCACCAGAATATTTTCTTGAAGGCAATTCACATCTAATGATACATCGAAGACCTGTTCCTCTGAGTACAATAAATATATACAAATAATTGCTGTAGAAAAGAGCTTGACGGACATCCAGTGCCACTTTGGGTATAACTGACCGATGCTACTTAGAATCAGCAACACTTGTAAAGCTCAGGCCTGCTGTTTTGGACATGTGCTGCACACACACAGCTTAGCTAACCCCGCTGTCCCACAAGGACAGCATTTTTAAAGCCCTGATACAAACTGCTATTAATTGTTTGAATCGCAACATTACCAAGAAGCTGTAACCACAGATGAGGACCCTGCTGTGCCATGGGTTGCAGAAAATAAAAAGGAGACACTGCAGTGGTTCACACAGTTTGAAATCAAAGGCCAGCTGATGGAGCTCCAGAACATTCTCACCTCTAGTGTGATCATAAAGAATGAATGATTTTATACACTTTATTGCTGGCTACAGTTTCACAGACAAGCTCCTAATGGGCATTTGGTACCCACTGTGATAGCCTAAGAAGAAAATACATGGAAAAACATGTCCTTCTGGCACACTATTTCTAATCCTAATTGAATTCCATTTTTTTCAGAGATATAATTGTTCCAGTGTGGTTCGCTCAGACAGATGATAGTAACAAGGCAACCACACTACCACAAATCTATGACTCCAACTAATAATTCTGTATGAAGTTTCCAAACCAGACTGTTTCTCACCTTAAAATACTGCATTTGCTCTCTGCCTAGTCCCTTCAACTCTCCATAAAGATCAAACGCATTGTCCTAACTCCATGAGACATCCACCCAATGTCACCAAATCCAGCACCTTGACAGAGGCACTCCTCTAAACCACCTCGGGACTAGAGGCCAGAAAAGCTGGGTTTGTCCTGGGGTTGTACAGCTCTGTCTGCAGATGTCTGCTGCATTAAAAGGGCATCACAATTGCAATTATCTGTCTTCCTTAAATACAAGGAGAGAAATGTCTGAAGCTAACGCCAAGAAAATCAAAGGGATATTGTTAATCCATGAGCTACCATCAGTGCAATGATTGTTAGCCTTTCCTGCAGTTTTCATCCTCAGGTACTTGTCCTGATGAGTTTTACATTTTCATGCAACACTGTACTCCCAATTACTGTGCATTCAGCAGATTTCTCTGTAGAGCACATGAAGGACATGATACATCACACTCATTACCAACCTACCAACCTGGTCTAGTGGAAGGTGTCCCTGCCCATGGCAGGGGGGTTGGAACTGGATGGTTTTTAATGTCTCTTCCAACCCAAACCATTCCATGATTCTATGATTCTAAAGAGCCCAAAGAGAAGTGAGAACAATAGGATCCTGCTGTTGGTTTATCATGAGTTTTCTGATCTAGGGGAAGTAGCCATCTCCTATTTGAATTCAGTTGTCATTAATAGTATCATTAGGTTTTTCTGCTTTCGGCCCATTCTGCGCTCAAGTCATTCTGAGTCCTGATCTGCCCACCAGCAAATAAAAAACAAAAAAACCCACTCATGGTCTCTCGTCTTCCTAGTAAGAGTGTATTTCACAGCCAGTGTGCCCAAGGGCCATAACTGAAGAAATCTTCTGAGAAGAGGAAGGTTACAAAAACTAGTGAGAAAACAAATACTCTTACCTGTCTGTAGTAAGCCAGCCCCACTGTCTTTGACTCCAAAGTGCTGCTGGATGTCTAGTAACACACCTGCAAGGAAAACAGAGGGAAGAAACTCAGTATCTTCAACCTTTGCAAAGCATACAGCTCAAACCTTGTGTGAAGCATCAGCAAAGCTTCAAATTCCAGTACTTCAAACATACAGCTTCTGAAGTTTGCACATTGGCTTCTTCTCTATACAGGCACACTCAATCATTTTGGGCTACTACAATAACAGCAGAGGTGGGCAGATATAACATCATGAAAAAATTTGGGAATGAAATCCTCATGCATGAGAAACTAGTCTTCCTGTGTAAAAAGATCAGGGTTTTCTTTTTGTTTATTTTCTGCAGAATCCAGATCCCTTACTGCTGTTATTTTATAGAAATATTGGGAAACTGACTCTGCGCCTCAGGTGTCTGAAATGGATTGACAAGACAGACAAACTGAATCCAAGACAAGTTTGAACAAATGTGTGTGGGGAGGAGATATGACACATCGATAGGAGCAAGGATGGAAGTTTTCACATTTAACTAGTTCTGGGGGTTTCTTGTTTCCAAAACAAACATAGAAAACAAATTTTAAATAGCTTAGTAAAGGTGGGTAAGTGACCAAATGCTTAACTTTAATCAGCTACAAACAGAACCAAACCCAAAATTCTCTCTTCCCTGAACCTCCAATATATTAATTGGCGTAATCAAAATCAACAGGTTTTGTAGTATTTACATATTCAGCTTGATTCAGCACTTGGGAATCAAACATATAAATACACATACCGTCAGGTACGTATGAACAGGCATGCTTTTGTAGCCAACAAGCAACTGGGAGAACCCACAAGAGTTTTTATAACTCATCTTGGGGGACACACATTTGCCAGTTACGTCAGATCCAGATCCACAGCAGGAAGATTTGTCTGCGGTCTAAACAAACTGCACTCTGATGTCTTCAGTCTAGAACAGAGACACTTGCTCTCTTACTCTCTGGGACTTCCTTTTTAGGCTATGGTCTTCCCTAAAACTGAGGATATGCAAGTTTCTTTTTTTAAAAATGAGAAACACCATTCTCCAGCTATAGTGAACATCTATAAAAGTTCACCTCCAGTTCAAAATTTGATCCGAGGCTTTATTCCAAGTGATTCTGCTCATCGCTGCAGGTCACAGGAATCAACTAAGCACCAACCTGAACTCGCTTACCAAGAATATCTTAGCTTTTGGGACTGCCAGAATCACAGTAAATGACAAACACAGAGAGATAAAAGACCCAGAGATAACTATTCCCAGAAGACATCTGAGACAATGCCAAGAAAACAGACATAAATTATAGGTACTGAAGGAAAAAAAAAGATACAGAGAAGGAAGGAAAAGGCAAGAAAGCTCATTTGCCCTACTCTGTATTACTTGTACATCACCGTTTACTCAGGGCAGCATTCAAGTTGGCTTTAGACTGCCAATATCTGCTGAGTAACATTAGTTCAACCTCGTACATAAACCCCAGTTCCGTACTCGCTCTATCAGACTGTTTAGCCCCGAGCAGAGAAGGCTTGAGGTAGGGAAGGGTGTGAATCTTATCAATGTTTATCATTACCTGATAGGAGAGGGGTTTAAAGAAGACAGAGCCAGGCTCTTCACACTGGTGCCCTGTGAACAGAGGCC